AAAAAAAAAAAAAAAAAAAGAGAAAAGAAAAGAAAAGAAACCTGAGTCCTCTGAACTTGGAGGGCTCTTTGTGTGACTTGAAGTTAATGGGAGCCTAGAGCCAGCCCCAAGAAGAGGAATCAGGGCTGGCTGGGTCAGGTTGTAAGGCAGAGAGGGGCATGAAAGACCTCAAGGTTTCCATGTGGTTATAATTTGGGCTGCTGGGGTGGGAACCTGGGTGTGGTGGAGGGGAAAGACAGGGAGAGAGGAGTCATGAAGAAACATGAGATGATAAAGATATAAAAATAATTCAGGTTCCTTAGGAGAAAAGTCATGCAGTTGTCCCTTTGTATCTGAGGGGGATTGGTTCTAGGACCTCCCTTGGATACCAAAATCCACAGTGCTCAAATCTCTGATGTAAAATGGTGTAGTGTTTGCATATAACCTGCATACATCCTCCTGTATACTTTACATCAACTCTAGATGACATATAATACCTAATACAATGTTAAGTGCTGTGTAAGTAGTCATACTGTATTGGTTTTTAGCTGTATTATTTTTTATGTTTGTACTGTTATTATTATTATCCATGATCAGCTGAATATGCAGATGCAGAACCCATGGATATGGGGGGGCCCACTGTAAATTCAAAGTATCATGACCCACTGCCTGATTCTCTTTAGGTTCACTCTGATTTGCTTGGAGCCTAAGTCAGGCAGTCCAGGCTCATTACAGCTGTCCTTACTGCTTTTTTATTTTTTATTTTTTTATTTTTTATTTTTTTGAGTTGGAGTCTCACTCTGTCGCCCAGACTGGAGTGCAGTGGCCACTCCCAGCCACCGCAGCCTCAACCTGCTGGGGTCTGGTGATCCTTCCGCCTCAGCCTTCCAAGTAGCCAGAATTATAGGCATGCGCTACCACGCCCGGCTGATTTTTTGATTTACTGTAGAGATGAGGTCTCACCCAGGCGGGTCTCGAACCCATGGGCTCAGGCAATCCACTCACCTCAGACTCCCAAAGGTGCGGGATTACAGGCTGAGCCACCGAGCCCGGCTCCTTACTGCTTTTTTAAATGAGAACTCTCTATGGGCTCAAACTGAGAATCAGCAGGTAATTAGAACATTCCGGATGACTTAAAGTTTCAACCTTTTTCATGAAAGTGATTGGAATTATAAAGACACACCCTGGGTAAGCAACTGCCTGCTTTTAAAAAAGATTCTTGATTGCAAAGAGACAATGATCTCAAAAATGAGTTCTGAACTCTTGCTGGTTCATCAAGGGGAGGATGAATCACCAGGACTGGCCCAGTGAATTGCTGGGAATGGCCTGAGGACCTTGAGTAAGGCTCCTCTCACAGTAGCACAGCAGCTAGGACAGATAACTCCTCCACATTCAGATTGTAGCGGGTCCTACGTCACTGCTGCTTTATTACTTTTAAATGACATATAATCTGAGTCTAAATGAACGATTATTAGAAAGTATACCTAAGATTTATAATTAAAATTTCAAAGACAGTGGAGCAAGCTAGATTTTGCTATAATCATGAGAAACATTAGATAAAAAGGAAAGTTCTTCCATTTAAAACACAACTGCAGCCTTTCAGAACCCCCAATATTGGGCAGCTCAGTGTTCATGCAGCAACTTCCGTCACTGTGGGAGGTGCCCAGGCCAGTCTTGGACTCCAGGCTCAAGTGATCTTCCTGCCTCAGCCTCCGAATGTTTTTTTTTGTTTTGCTTGTATAATAACCTACCACGTGCAACTGCTGTCTATGCTCTGTTCTACGAGGGAAGGACATGTATGTATTTGCTACCATTAAATTACTAGCATTAAGCATGACATCTGTCATATAGAACAGGCTCAACTAACAGATGGAGAAAGAAAAGAAGGAAAAGGGGAGTCCAGGTGAAGGAGACAGACGGACCCTAATGCAGCCTTTAATACTACCTAGACCAGATGGAAGTGGGTGGGTGGAATAGGCCAGGGTCTAGTCTGGAGCTCATGATGGCCCTGAGGAACAGGCAAGGGAAGGGCCGAGTCACTTGCTGCATCTGAAGGTATAACTCTGAGGTTTGTGACTGATGTCTTTTGTTTATCATGGGCTACTGACTTTATCTCCCTGAACAAGTCTTTTCATTCCTACTTGCTTGAGATCCTTGGCTCTACCTCACCCTCCCGCACTTACCCCAGGCCTAGAAGTTTGGCCCCTCACCCCTTACGCATGTCCCTGCTCCCAAAGGAGTGGCCAGAGATGGTGCATTACCTGTTCATTAAGCTGTATGACCTGTGTTTCTAAATCTTTATCAGATTTGGATGCTGAGCTGCTGGAGGAAGCCCTTTTGGCTGATGAGGGACGAGAAGGTGTGGATCCTGGTTTAGATGCTGGACTTGACTTAGCTGCACCTGAAAGAAACCAGAATAAATTATTAATATTGGCGACATCAAAAATGTGTTTTAGATATACAGCAAATGAATGACACAAGAGGAGTTTACTAAAATATACAAGTGACACCTCCAGTGATCCCTTTCCATATGGAAGTACAAACATACTTAGAAGAAGTGCACACAATTAAATAATGGTGCTGTCCTGGGCAACTTACTTAACCTTTGTGAGCAGGATTTTGTCTTCAAGTAATGTGAGGTTAACGGCAGTTGCCATTCTTCCCACCAGACAGATAAAAGTAATAGATACAAACAGATTTTTAGTTTTTTAAGGAGAAATGTTTTTAGATAAACTCAAAATATCACCCTAATTGAGCTCTAACAAGAGAAAATACTTTAAACAGAATACTTCAGAAGAAATATCAATACTAATGTATAGTCTTTCTCTTATATTTCCTAGCTTTAGCCAAAGAGCCCAGAAGCCATGACATCTCCCCAGCAGCAAGCACTGCTGACACCCAAATCATGGTTTCTAAATGTCATTCTGTAATCAAAGGGTTTCTTGAGAAATGACTGACTCCAGGGATGGGGAAGGGAATATTCAAGAGACCCTTATATCAAAAAGCAAGGATGTGATTAAGGATTAATGTACCAAGGACATAGGGGCCAGCTTAAAGGGGCTCCCAGCTAGTCACACTTCGGACAATTTGCATGTCAGGAAGAATCATGGCTGTAATTTATTGTAAAGCATTGAATAAATAAAAATCTATCAGTGTATAATGATATAAAGAGAGACACACGTGGGGGGATGCAGATAGGGAGAGGAAGACTATAAAGAGCTTCTTTATAGAACACTGACAGCCAGTACATGTAGAAGAAACGTTAGAAATAAAAAAAAAAAATCACAATGTCATAACATCCACAACTAATAACTGATTCAGTCTCATCACTAGACATGAACAGTTACGTGAAAGGAACATGCACCTTTATAACGGGGTGATCTGGGAGTTATCACCTAAGGCAAGTGATCCATTTATCACTAATGATATAAAGTAGAATTAAAAAGACCACTGGTTTCAGGTAAGACCTTGTATACCTGGAACTCAGCTTACAATAGACTCACTACCTAGAACACGGCACAGACATAGGGAGCCAAAACAGAAGCCACAATGTGTATGGGATGATGCTGATGCACTCAGGGATTAAGGACTTCCAGGCCATTACCAGGGCTACCTGTTCCCTTTCCTCTGAACACAGTCCCCGCGAGGTGGCAGCTATTTTCCACCACCCCTCCAGCCTGGTGTGGGTGCTCCTCCTCTGTTCCCCCAATGATCCAATCCCCTACTACAGTCCTCTACACTCTGCTCTTCTAGAAAGCTCCTGAAGGGAAAGAAATGCATCTTATTCATCTTTGCACTCCAGTGCACAGCACAAGGCTCGGCTGAGCATGTATTTGGTTAAGGAATCAATGTTTAAATAAACACATGAACAAGTAAATAAAATTTAGTGATGTGGTTTCCAATTTTACAGTTTATTTCCAGTTTCACAGTTTATCAGTACCAACAGCTTGGAAAGAGAAAAATGGTTATAAAGGCAGGTATTTGACGGCAGTTACAAGTTTCAACCAATATCCTAATTACAAAGCAGCAAACAGGAAGACTATAAAATTTATAAGTGTATGTCTTCAGGTGCCTGGGGTGATTAGTAACAGATGCAAGTCACACACACCCTTGAGAAATGCTGGCAGCATTACAGCCTTTATGTATGTGTGTCTCTGTTATAAAGAAAAAAAAAAGGACCTTTCTTAAAAATATAGAAAAATGCCTAATATTCTTTAACATTTAAAAAAAATTAGTTTAAACATATGGGGTACAATTCAGGATTAGGTATACAAGTGGTTATCATACAGGTAGAATTTGGGCCTCCCTTTAGTCCCCACTTCATCTGGTTTGAGATCAGATACCCTTACTGATGAAGTGTTCCTCCCCTCTCCTGTGGTGTCCCACTACTAACAATCCCTTTCTTATAATATTATGGTCAGTGTTCAGAGTCCACTTATGAGTGAGAACATGTGGGACTCAGTTCTTTGTTTCTGTGATAGATCACTGAGTATTATAGACTCTAAGTTCCTCTAAGTTGCTGTGAAGTCCATATGTCTGTCTTTTTTTTTTTTTTGAGTCGGGGTCTTACTCTGTCACTCAGGCTGGAGTGCAGTGGCACCCTCATGGCCACTGCAGTCTCTACCTGCTGGGCTCAGGTGATCCTTTTGCAAACTCAGCCTTCCAAGTAGCTGGAACTACAGCATGCACCACCACGCCCAATTGATTGTAGGGATGAGGTCTCACCATATTGCTCAGGTTGGTCTTAAACCCGTGGGCTCAGGCAATCCTCTCACGCCACCTCCTAAAGTGCTGGGATTACAGGTGTGAACAACCGTGCCTAGCCCTGTTTGTCCTTCTTTATGGCTACATAATATTCCATCGTGTATATGTACCACATTTTCATTTTTTTATTCAATACAGTTTCGATGGGCAACGTGGTTGGTTCCATGTTTTTGCTATTGTGAATAGTGCTGCAATAAACATGTGTGTACAGGTATCTTTTTGGTAGAATGATTTGAGTTCCTCCAGGTATATTTCCAGTAGGGGGATTGCTGGGTCATATGGAAGGTCAATTTCTAGTTTAAAAAATGCCTAATATTCTTTAAAATGAGAGTGGTTAAATTGGGAATGACTTAAAATAGTTTGGGTACTCAGAAGGTAAAGTGCAGATCCCTGGAAACCTCACCAAGGCAGAAGAACTTCCCAAGGAGTCTAGAGAGCTGATGTTTTGTTTAAATGTCTGTGACTGGTATACAGTTGCAAGGATCTTTCATCTCTGTAGAAGCCCTGGACACTTACTGCTGTGTCCCACTAATCCAGTACTTTAACCAAAGGCCAAACCAACGGGGCAAAGAAAACCATGTAGAAGAGCAGGCAGGGGAGGCAGGGTGAGGACACACTGATTTGGCAGCCAGTCTGCTCCAGAGATAGCCACCAGCCTAGCTGAGGAGGCAGCTTTGGAAAAATCCCCTTCAGACCTTTTAATAAGCAATACATCGTGTTTTAATATAAAGAAAGATTAACAGAAAGCAGCAAAGACTATCTACAATCAACTTTCCTCCTTTAATACATGCACACTTATTAAGTGCCTGCCATGGGTCATGCACTGGAGTTCCTGCAGGTGACTAAGATGTGGTCCCTGTTATCCAGGAGCTCAGTCTCGTGGGAGCGACAGTCACCTAAGAATTCCCGGGTGTGGCACCAATATTCTCAGGAGTAAGCCCGAGTACTATGACTCCGTGACCATCAGTGTGATTTGCGCCATATTCCCTGTCTGAAACACTCTCTCTCTTGCCTGCCCCCAGCCTCCTTGGAGTGACTAGGTCTACCACCCTTCGGGTCTCAGACGTCGCATCCTCTGGGCGGCCACAGTGTCCCAAACACATTTCTCTTAGCATGTACCAACTGTACTGGTATAGGTATTCCTTTAATGCCTACTTCTCCCATTGGACATAAACTCCATGACAGAGGAGTTGTATCCATTTTGGTCACCACCTTCTGCTCCAACGACCAGTCATGATGCCTGACCCAGAGACATGCAACGTAAAAAGTTTTTATAATTCATTACACAACACCTAGCAGAGGCATCTCTCCAGGGTAAGGATATCAGGGACAGCTTGAGGAACTGATGCCAAAATCAAAATCACTGACAGAAAGAACCAGCAATACTTCAAAGCAACCAAACAAAACCCATCAGCCTCCCAGAAAGAGAGCCTTCCTTGATTTCCTTTCGAGATCACCTTCTGGTACTATTTAGGCCTCTTATACACAGAATCAGGATGACAGGTCGAGTGAGTAATTTCAGTCAGTAAATGCTTAACCTTGAGTGGTCTGTGCTGGGCTGTCCAAGTCTATGCCATGCTCACTGGCCTCCCTAGAGAGAACGTGACCCACCCTCCCTGGGTGGTCCTCCATGGGCAGGTTCTCAACTATGATGTAGCTCATTGCAATGCCTGAGCTGGGTTCATCAGACACACTCATGCTCTTATATTCTGCTGTATCTAGTCCAATGTCAACTTAAAAAGAAAAAATGAAAAGAACAGAAGCTGACTGCTTATTAAACAGGATTACCACTAATTATATTCTCAGGATATCATCAAATATAGCTTGAAAAAAATGGAAATGTTTGATAAGAATTAGGAGTTATGGTCAGCTAAACCCCTGGGCAAGGTCATTTCTTCAGGGAAGAACAGATACAGAGGCAGAGGGTACTGGCTGGGAGACACAGGAGCCTCACAAGGAATGGATCAGAGGGCCCTGGGACACATGGCTTGTGGCAGGGAGGACAGAGCTGCTGCAGTTACTGACACTGTTCCTGTTCCAGCCACACAGAGCCTCAAAGGGACATCTTTTTTTTCCCTTGAGGAAACAAATCTCCTGCTGTTGACAGGGTCCAACTTAAACATGCTCATGCGGCTCTCTGACTTGCCAAGCTGTGGTTCCACAGAGTCTCAGCCTGCAAATGGCATCTGTGTTTCATGAATCTGGCAAATGTCAGGTGGGGGGCCTGGAGCCTCTGGTCTTTCCTACTGGCACACACACGTGCAGCTTCAGGGTCTTGGAGATGAGGTTGATGAAGGTCATGTAGATCAGACATGGCACCCTCTGCCACTCCACCACCTGCCCATGTGGGCCAGAAGAACTGTTTCTGCCTTTACTGACCCTCCACTCTTACTGACTAGGGGCATGGCGCAGGCTGAGCAAAGAAAGACAGAATGGCAGACAAACACTAAAAATGTAATAATAGATCAATTAGGTAATTCATATTGATGTCTAAAATTAGAGGAGTTTTGAAATTAAATTGTTTGGAAAGAAACTGATAACAGAGGGAAATAAATGATGCATGAGGATTTGAGAGGTCAGCACAAATAGTTGCATTTATACCCTCTAATGAACAAACTGGTAGAAATTAAAGAACAG